ATTTCTTTATTCCACAACAATTTTATCCTTATTTTACTCTCCTTCCTTTCTCTCTCTCTCTTTTCTGATAGAAAGGAAAGTAAAATTTTCATAAAAGAAATAGAAAAAGAGAGGAAGTGGTTAACATTTTAAGTATTAATAAAATTTCAAATTTAAAAAAAATTTAAAAAAGAATTTTATAAAATTTTGAAGTCACAAACAGTGGTGAAAGCATAATGAAAGATAAAATCAGATCATTAGATGACAGATATTGATTATGATAGAGTCTTCGTTTTAAAAACAAAAAGTTTTTATTTTATACTTTAACACATAAATGCGTGAAAACACGTATAAAATCTTTTACACGTACGAAATCTTTGGACACGCATAATTTTGCTATACAAAAATATAGAAATTCCTTTTAAAAAAACACACATAAGCCCTCTTTCCACTTATAGCACTTACAACACGTATGAGTAAGGACTGGTACGTAAGACACATGTGCAATACACGTATTTGACGTATGTAATCATATTTAAGTTATAATAAATAATATTCATATCATATCAAATTGAATAATAATAATATTTCTCTAATAAAATATTTGATAGAAAAAAAATTTTTTTCCTTCCTTGTTACTAAAATTTAGAAATGAATTTAATAAAACCCAATTTTACAATTCAAATATTTTTCTTTGTTTTATGTTTCAAATTTGTTTAATATTTATAATTCGTTGTTCTTTTTTAATAACTTTTAAACTCCAAACGATTAATTATTTATTAATTTTTTCATAAATAAAGTAATAGTGAAGGAATGAAGATAGTGAAAATAAAGAAATAAAATTTGAGAAAATAATTTCAATTTTTTTTTTTTTTTTGACTATATTTACGATTGTATCAAAATTTATGGATTTATTAGTGAAAGATAGCATTGTGATATGACTTCTACCTGAACCATTTTTTTATTTTATTGAAGCGAGCGGTATTGTTGAAAGAGTTACAACACACACACACACACACCTGCCAGGTATGTATCATTAGCTTCATCGTTGTTTCAGGTGTTCAAATCTCTTCTTAAGTCTTTTCTTTCTTTCATCAAACAAAAAGATTACTTTTTCTTAAGGGAAAAATTTTATTCCTTCATTGTTTGTTTTGTTTTTATTATCGTTTTTGAAATACTGAATTAAATTTTTGAAATGTTTTTTTTTTTTTTTTTTTCTTTTTGTAAAATTTTATCAATAAGTAATTTTAAAAAGAAAAAATAGTTTTAAAAGTTTTATTATTTTTAAACCATTATTAAAACTATTAGAAATTTTGAAATATTCTTTTGTGCGCTTTTACTGCTTCTTTCGTTTAATTTAATTTTTAAATTTAAATATAGCTTTTGATTTGAATTTCCGCATTGTCCTTTATGTTTAGAAAAAAAATAAAGAATGCTTTGATCACTGGGAATATCGCAATTTTTGTTTTCCCATGAGAGTATACAATCGGTTAAAATATGTAATTTTTAGAATTTTTTCAAGCCAAAATCAAGAAAAGTTATTTCTAAATTTAAAAAAAAATAAAATAAAATAATAAAACAAGCAATTTGAGTCTAACGTAATTTTCTTTAATGAAACGAAGTAAAAAAAAACAAAAGACAAAAGGTTGCCGATAATAATTAATTAATTATTTGAAAAACTTTCTTCCAACCACAAATAATTATATTAAAATTCAAATAAAAATTAAAATTGAAGAAATTGACAAACTGACATTAATTTGACTATTAAAAAGACTTTTAATTTATAACAAACTTTTAAAATGATAAGTGAACAATACTTTACAAAAATTTCTAAACTACTAACAGAAATAAAAAAATTGGCATAAAATACTTTTTGTAGGTTATATAATTTAAAAGCATTGTAAAAAAAAAAGAAAAGTATTAATATTAAAAATATTAAATTCCGTATAATTCTAATTGATAGCCAAATTCTTTCAGTCATTAAATCAATATTAGTTGCAATTAGTACTATTGGCAATTCACAAATTTAGTTTACAATAGCATTTATTACAATAAAATCTGCTTTTAAATAATTGAAATATTATAATAATTTAAACCAAAACTGAAAACATTAATATTCTTTGATCAAAGTTAAAGTATTTAATTTTATTCAATATTTTATTGTAAAAAGCATTTCAATGTGAATTTTGAAAAATAACGCCGTTTTAATCTGTGAATTTTCATTCCAAATAATAATAATTTCTTTTATTAATTTCAATTTTTCATTCTTTCAAAAACATTAAATTTTTTTCCTTTCTTCGCCCACCTAATCATTGCTATTGCTAATGAAAATTTTATTAAATCCAATAATATTCTTTTATTAATTAAGCATTTTAAATTTTTAATAATTCCAATAAAAATGATTTTTTCAGATTCAAAAAAAGAAAAAAAATTGATTTTTGTTAACGTCAACAATGTGATAATAGGATGAAAAGTTGTAATTAGTTTGTGCACATTAAAACTAAAAATGCGTGATGCAAAAATCTTTCATTATAACATTTAACGAGTAATACTGTTAAAAAAGTAAATTATATGTTGTGAAAAGATCAACAAAAAAAGGAAAAAAAAAAATGGTTGAAATAAGTAAATATCGTTTTCTACTAGGTATTTTGATTAAATTTAAATTTGTTTAAATTAAAAATTTGACAATAAAAAAAAACAAAAAAATTAAAAAATATGTTTTGTTATTGCTTCCTTTTTCTCAATTTTAATTCATCAAATTTATTTGCAGCAATTTATCTAATTAATTTAAAAGACTAATAAAAAAATTTTTTTCTACATTATTAATAGACTTATCCTCATGTTAAAACTGAGTTTAATGAAGTTTTATAATTTATAAATTAATATTTTGGAATAAAAATTTACTTTTTAAAATGTAAGAAAATCATTATCAAAGTAATAAAAGTAAGTTAGAAAACAATGATAAAAGTTTAAAATTTTTGAGTTAAACATGAAATTATTACTACATATTACTATAGAAAAAATAATATAATAAACTTTTATGAAATAAAGTAACCATTTCGCATTTTGCATAACTTTGCATTTTTGCTTGATTTATGTTAAATGCTTACATCATTTCGCGTCATTTTAGTTTACAGTTATTAATTTTTAGTCTAATAATATAATTAATGCCTTAAATTTCCAATCAATAATTACTTAATAGTAATTTGTCAATTTAATATTATAAAACTAAATAATTTGTTGAAAAATTATAGAAAAAGTTTTGTCTCTGTTTTTAGGATAGATGCGCTATTTACTAAATGTACTTTTGATATCTTTTATCTTTATCTTTAGTGTTGGCCAATGATCAGTAAGGTCATTAATATGTGACAAAAGCGCCCTCTGATGCAAATGTAATATAATTTTATTATACTTTGTGCATAATACTACAATAATGATGATATATATGTCATATTTTCTACTTACCTTTCCATTAGTTTCAGTAAGATATGCATTAATTTGCGCAAACGTTATTTTATGCAGACGTGCACTGCAACGTAAGTCTGTTTATTCCTTTTTGCTAATACAAAATTAATGAATTTTTAATGTTTAGTTTTTAATCAATCTTCTGACGCATTTTTAATTTTGTTTTTATGAAATATTTCTTTGATATTACTTTATTTTTAGACGTTTATTTAAATTTGCATAATTTTCGTACTTTGTCCTTCATTGTATATCGCTTTTAGATAATATTAAAAATACCCATTTCTTATTGTGAATCAAAAAATTGAAATATTCAAATTTGCAAGTTAAAATGTTTTGCTGTATCTGTTTAAAATATTACTTTAACTTAAATTTCATATTTAATTATATATATCGAAATGAAAAAAATGAATGTGACGAAAAAAAATTAAAAATGGTTTATAATACGACTGAAATCAAAACCAAAAAGTTCATTAAATTTTGATTTCCGGAAACTTTTTTTTTTCTTTTTTCTTCAATAGTTTGCATTCATGATTTTCGGAAATCATAAATTTCAAGAGTAAAAGAATCATTGTGGGAACGAATGAAATTATCCTTTGTCTGCATTTCGTCAATTGCGCATCCAAAAAATCCTTAAATTTTACACCAGAACTACTCCATAAAATTTCATGAAATTTGCTAGAATACTTTTAGTTTAAAAGAAAGAATAAATTCATATCCAAAAGAAAAGAAAAAAACGGTTCGAAAACAAAAGTCATTTTGAAATAATAAATTATGACTTTACCCGCAGGTAAGTGTGTTTTCTCTTTCTTTTTAGCTTTTTACCTGACAAGTGAAAAACAAAAAAAAAAAAGAAAAAAACATTTATAGATGAAATTTTAATATCATTAAAAAAAATAATAGCAAATTAAACATAGCAAAACACTGAAATATATGCAGAAAAGAATGATTAAATGGAATAATTAAATGGAATTACTGAAATTAATTCATTATAAAATATGTGATTTCAACTGAATGTTTTAAATTTTAACCTTCTTTTTTGATCTGTAAAAGTAACTTAATCAATGAATTAATTTGAAATAAAATTTTTCATGGCTTAATTACTTCTACATTTCTGCTAATATCAAGCGTATTTTGTGCTTATTTTATTTTAATTTAACATTTTGAAGGAAAAAAAAAGAAGCTACGAGGTTGCTTTAGCAGTAAAAATACTATTCAAAAACGCAAAATGCTAACGTAGTATTTGATTTTCTTCTGGTATTTATTGTTTACATAATTGATTTGAATTAACCAATTTTTAAAACTTTTGACTTCTGACTATAACATAAATTTCTTCATCCTTCATTAAGTTTATTTAATATTGTACACGTGATTATACGTGAGATAATTGTTAGAATTACGTGAACATAACGTATTCCAAAAAGCATACGTCTTCTACTTATAAAATCAAAAAGAAATTTAATAATAAAGCAAGAAAAAAAATCCGACTGATAACGAGCAGAATCATTGCGTTAAATACATACTGATTAACTGATAATGAATCATGGTATTTTATCATATCATCTGATCAATGTTATCAGTAGTAGTATAATAAATATTGGCACATTACTGGAAGCGTTTGATGGTATTACGTCGGTTGTGAAAGCACGTAAAGCTGAAATTTTTTTTTTCTTTTACAAATTCTGCTTTTTGTATGCCAAATTTACATTCTGCATCAAAATTTAGTATCAAAATTCTGTAACACGAAATAAGAATTTAATTGAAAATTTACTAATTATATTTCATTTTTTTATTATGTTTTTAATAGTCATAAACAGAATGGTAAATAATTAATTAATTAGCATATTATCAGTTGTTCCTCATAATATTCTCAAAATTATTTTATTTTTCTAAAGCTTTCGAATTGATAAATTATATTTTAAATTGATAAAACTTCACAGTCACTAAAATTTATATAAAAATGATCAAAATAATATATCATTTCGTAAAAAATCACATATGTTATTTGCTACTAGTTTTAGACGTATGAATTTTTCAAATTTAAAATTAAAAAATATAACAAATTAAACTTTGATGAAAAAAAAAAAAAAAGTAAATGAAAAGTGGAACATCTCTGATATGGTGCATCAACTTGACGATATTTAATTCGTGGACCACGATGCGATCCTTCTGACCACGGATTTGTTCGCAATTCAATCAGCAACCAATTGGAATCACTTTCAAAACGGATACCAATTAAATTATCTTTTGTAGAACATAAAATTCTAAAATTGCTACTATTCCTTAAAATAATATTAATAACATTTCTCTCTTATTTAATTTTTCATTTAAGTCAAAAACTTTTTAAAAAAATTTTCATTTAAAAATGTTTTTTTTTTTTGAAAAAATTTTTGCTTCTTTTCTATTCTTTCTCTTTTTTTTCTTCCGAAACTTTTTTCATATTTGGGTTTGAAATAACTTACGGATTAGCAATACTTTTAGCGCCCCAAATATAAAAGATATCATTGCATGGTTGATCCGGTGGAACGTTATCATCATCTAAATCTAAATCTTTAATGTAAAATTCGATCGTCTTTTCCGGTATACTTTTTATCAACCATTGGCAAAATGTTGCACCTGTTCGACCTTCCGGATATGTACTGCAAGTATTTTTTCATTTAAGTCTTATTTTTTCTTTTTTTGAATTCTTGAAATTATTAAAAATAATTTTTTATTATCACACAATATAAACTGTAATAAACAATAAATTTTATGTTGAAGATATCAATTGAAATTATTATAAATAAATATAAATAAACAACGATTTTTCATATATTTTCCCATTCGTATTTTATGATTCAATTCAATAAAATTTTATCAATTTTAATTAAATAAATTTTCTATTTATTATAACTTAAGTCTTAATTGTACAAAAAATCTTTCCATCTAAATATTTTGTAACTGTTTTCAACCAAGAAAGGAAATTTTAATTTTATTTCAATCTTATCTCTTATTCAATGCTATTTATATCTATTATTTTATGCAATAATTTTATTTAAAAATTTTCGAATTTCTGATTTAAAAAAAAAATTGAAAAAAGTAGAAAAAATTAATTAACCTAAGTGAAACAGTTCCTTGTTCATCACTATGAATGCCACATGATGGATCAGTGAAAAGTTTCCGTCTCGAAAGTTCTTCACAATTTTTTCCCTCAAATCCATATGCGCATTGACAATTGCAATCGTTTTTCACTTTACCGCCATTTTCACATTCCATATTGCATCCTTCTATAATTTATTAAATAAATTAACGATAAGAAAACGAAAAAATTGAAAATATTGAACAACTGAAAGAGAAGAAAAAAGAGAAAAAAAAATTTAATAAATTCTTTTTTTCCTCTTTTATAAAGTAGAAAATGAGAAAAGAAAAACCGGAAGAACCGGAAGCTAAAATAGCAAATATGATATTCGACTATTACAAAATTAATTTAGTAGATAAAATTTCACGTTCAGTTAAGACAATGATTATTAAAAAATTAATCGGTTTGTTCCATTTAATATTTCATTTAATTAATTAGAAAATATAAAATTAATTTTTGATTCACAATATCTAAAATATAACAAATTTCTATTCTATTCCAAAATTTTGTTTTCTTTTATTAAAAAAATTGAGGCTTAATTTCATATAAATATTTGAAAGAAATTTGTTTACGGTTTTATATGAAATTTCCTATTTCAAAAAAAAAAAAGTTCCTACCGAAATAATTTGAATAAATCATTTAATTTCATATCAATAAGTAAAAAATTTACATCAAAAATTTTAGACTGAATTTAATTTTGATTTTATGCAAAAATATTCCGAACTTGAAATTTTCATTTCATATTTTTTGCATATAAAATCAAACTAAGAATTTTCAACAAAAAATGAAAACAAAAATTGTTATATTTTTAAGCGGGAAGTGTCCTTTTTAAATTTTATTAGCAATGAACTTTAATTGCATGCATTTTTATTGAGAGTCTTAATTAGATTCAGTCAAATGATGAATACTTAATGACCTTTTGCTCCATCATCACTTAAGTCTATCTAAAATCTCACTAACTTATGCAACTAAACATGCAGAATGATGACCCATAACCCATGACCCATGACCTTTAGTGATGCAATTATTCTTTAATTTTATTTTAATAATTACTTCACTAAAGCTCATTTCATCCATCCAAAAATTAACAACAATAGTTGTAATCAGATAAACTAAAATTATTTTACTTTAAAAATTTTCCTTTCTAACTTTCTCATCCAAATTAAATCTTTGGTTTAAATGATTTTTTTTCTCAAGAAAATTTCCAAATTTTCATCATTAATAAAGGTAAAATGTTTTGATTATTAGTAATTTCAATCATTTAAAGATTTAAATTATCAATTATAAATGTTATTCCAATAAAAGTTAGATCTTATGTATATAAAACATTGACTTGTGAAGTAATTACAAAATGAAAAAGAAAAACTCGAAGAATAATTTATCAAAATAAAAACAATTGAAATTTTAATAGAAAATAAAATTCTTCCGTTTTCTCTTTGAATAAAACTAACAATAATTTATTTATGATAAAGTAATATAAATATGTCTTTTGAAATATAAGAAATTAGCTAAATTTAATTAATATTCCATTGTTTTTATGAAATTTCCATTAAATTTATTTTTGTAATTCAGTGATTCCTTCCTTGAAATGGACATTTTCTTGTAATTTTCAGCATTTTTATATGTATAATGTCAAATCATAGTAAGATAATAAATCGAATACTAAATAGAATATTCACACACTACCAAAATCGGAATGTTAAAACCGGAATGTTTTGTAAGTTCCAACCGGTTTTTATCTTATTCAAGCATTGTCATAGAAAAAAATTGCTCTTTAAAAAAAAATCAAAGAACATTATTTTAAACATTACTTAGCAAATAATAAATAATATAATATTCTTTGAATTTTTTTTTTTTGGAAGTACAATTTTTTTGAATTTCTTTTTTTTATGTTTTGCTTTTCCTTCGAAACTTTTTTATTTTTTCGTGAGAAAATAATTTGTGATATTTTTTTTTAATACAATAAAATATTTTTCTTAATTAAGTTCATTTGCACTAAACTTCTCCAATTTTCCTCCTTTCATTTTTTTTTCTGAAATTAATTAAAGCACTAAATTATAAAAAATATCGTAAATAGAAGGATCATAAATTATCGTCATTTTCTATAAATCATTACATTGCTTGTATGTAATATTCTTTTAAATGATTTAAATAAATAAAAAAGTTAACAGTCAATTAATTTGTCAGAAAAACTGATTTTTCATAAGTAATTTTTCTAAAAAAATGACTAATTTTTAACAAAATTCAAAAAGTTAATCTTTAAACTTCTTTTAATAATACTTTAAAAAATGAAAATTTTTGAATGATATTTTCAAAAAATGAGAAAAAAATTTCTTTTCAAATAAGACAGTACTTTAAATATTTATCCCTGCACTCATTTTTATTATTAATAAAGGGGGCAAAAGGTCAGGGATATAAAAGGATACCGGATATGGCTAATTCTAGTTCATAACAAATGGACATATGTTTATAAATGTGTATGTTATGCATGTATGTATGTGTGTGTCTGTGTCTGTCTATAAGTGTATATATGTTTCTTAGTTAAGGCGCAGATTTTCATGTAGCTGTTTTATGGATGATTAGATAATTAACGTTGTGAGCATGAAGTCAGTGCTCAGTGATTAATAATTAACAATAATTATAGGTGTTGTACCTGTACAGTTGTACATTGTGTTGATTAGATGAATCATTTGTGTGCGAATTGGTAGTGATGAATCGGTGGCAGAAAGTGCATGCGACAATACCGCCAGACATGCATCATCAGACCATGATGATACTGATGATGATGATGATAACAGTGTTAATGATGGTAATGGTGGTGATAATTCCTTTAAAGAAAAAAATTTTTTTTTTCATTAATTTGCTTCATTTAAAAAGAAAGAGGAATAAGAAATGAAATATTTATAAATAAATGTTTCATAAAATTAAATCTAAAAACTATTATAAGAGAATTGGAATAAATTTTTTGATTACTAAAATTTCATCAAATTTCTATTGATAATGATTGGTATTTGTAAATCAATTTAGTGAAAATTTCAATTTTATACTGCATTTACTTAAATTCTAATGAATTACATTTAAACATTTTCCATTTAAATGCATCGTTTGGTTCGACTTTTGCCATGAACAAAATCTAAAATTGACAATAATTGAAATGATAATGGATCTAAAAGTTGAAAATGACATATCAAATATATTATCTGATAACTTAAACAATATTCAAATTTTATAAAGTAAAAGTAAGAAATGATTTTAGAATGTTTTGAAACGATAGTAGAATTATGCACATTACGATTAATTATTTCATTCATTTATATAACATAATTTAAAATTATAATCCAAACTAAAGTAAATTAATGAATTAAGCCAATCAATGAATCTAATCAATCAGTAAAAAGTTGGATGAAATAGTTCTAAAGCCTATGAAAATATAAACGTCGCTATAAAATCTAAATTTATATGAAGCTAATTAAATTAATAATTCTATATCCCTTAAAAATTGAATCAACTTATGATTGTAAAACCTATGAAAAGAAAGAAAGGGAGAGAGAGAGAGAGAGAGAGAGAAGTGAGAATTTTATAAATGACCACTTATCGTCGGCTCAAATCTACTGCGCATTTCGGTCAATTGCTTTGCATTTGGTACTGATATCACTTAGAATAGGTATAATTTGAATATAAGTACTTGAATGTAATGAAGCAGAAAATTGAATCAAACTAATCGGAATATTTGATCTGAAGTGGTTGACGGAAGTCTTTTGAACAGAAAAATGGGGAAAAAAGGAATAGATGATTTAGTAATACTGAAATGATATAATTATTGTAATTTATTATCAATAGACTTATAAAAAAACCAAAGATAAAAAAGAAAAATTAAATCGAATTAAACTGTTAAGAATTAAATTTGCTTGCTATTACTCGAAATTTTATTTAGAAGCAATTTTTTGAGTTTTTTTTTTTCTTTTTTATTGGTAAATATTAGTGTAATGGAAAACAAAATTTAAAAAAATTTATTCTAAACTTACGGTGATTGCATGAATAAAATTGGTTCTATATTTCTATCTGTAAGAATAGTTGCTGGTTCAAATAATAAGCAAGTTTCATCACTGATTATTTCCATTGCTCGTTGCAAACATTTGTTGATAGATTCATCTGTAACTAATTTTAATTTTGAATTATATCTTTTTGATTATGTGGATTTCTTCTCAGAATTTTCATAAGCTTAATTTTTAAATTATTATTTGCAGCAAAAAATTTTCAATGCCATTTAATCTTTTTGGATAAAGAAATCTGTTTTAAAAAAAATATATTAGTTTAAAATTCAAAATAAATCAAAATTTTATGATTAAAAAAAGATTAATTGAGTGAAAGAAAAAAATGAGAAGAAAGAAGCGTATTTCATTTGATAATTATTAATTCAGTAAGTAAAATTTCAAAAAGATTTTCAGTAACAAAAAAAGACTTTCAAAATTATTTACCGTTATCGGAATGAAACTTATACGGAATTATTTCCACAGAATATGCATAAGAAATCTGAAAATTTTATTATCATTAACAATTATATACAAAGCCTTTTATCACTTCCTTATATACCAATCGATAATACAAATTTGTGAAATATTTCTTTCAGAAAATAATGAATTTTATATTAATTTTTTATTGTGTGTGCAACATTAAGATTATATACAAAATCCATAAATTATTTTATTTAATAATACTTATATGATAGTATCATAAAGACTATAAATTATTACCAACCAAGTAAATAATGATGATACTAGGATGCCACATCCAACAGATGCTATTACCACTGATTACCATTGCAGGTTGTTGAGGTAATTAGCATATATGTATGTATGATCAATGGATACACCTGGTTGTAGGTTATAGGACGTAACCTGTGTTAAATTAGCGATCCAATAATAGCACTAATAATACAAAAATATTTTAATCTCAATACTGATATTACTGCTAGTAGTAGTAGTTATTGTATTAAAAATAATTTTTGCACCACTAATAGTTGCAGTAGTAGCAGTTGTTACTGTTGTGGTTTTAACTGTAGTTGCAATATTACTTGCAATAGCAATAGTAGTAACTGCTTGTTGTTGCTGCAATAACTATAAATGTACTAGTAAAAGTTATACTAATAATTCTTGCTGTTTTACTTAGTAATAATTACTGATACACCAAGAGTAATAGCTGTAGTACTAGTAATAACAATAGTAGCAGTAGTAGTAGTGATGAACTGAACCGCCTTAAGCTCAGTAGGGTTAATGGAATGCTGCAACAACCATAATGAGACAAGAAAGCGGGGGGAAGTAGAGGAGGGGACGGGTGCGACATTAGTGCTCAACTGCAATTGACCATTGCAACAAATAACCAATATTCCATTCTGCTATTCCTATTCCAGGCTATTCTACTCTTTCATATTTCACCTAATTTACCGGATATTCAAACACCGTGGATCATTCCTTACTTCCTTATTTTAAATCTGATTTTGTTAAAGTTAATAGAATAGCAATAAACCTTACTTACTCTTTCTCTCTCTCTCTCTCTCTTTCCCTATACATGTATATTATTTGCTACTATATTATAATAATAATAATTATTGTCATCACTACTATTATTATTACTACTATTACTATCGTTATTATTATCATTTTTATTATTATTAATTATCACAATTTCGCTAATTTGTGACCATTTCCTGGCTTAACTAAAATACTTATCCTGAAATGTCCTACTAAACTATCATCTTAAACTGAGCAAATCATAATCTTCTCAGTGAAATATAACAACTGACATTATTACAATGCACTAATCAGGATTATCCCTTCATTATCATTATCCGGTACCATTTTCTTGAACACATGAATCAGAAAAAAAAAAAAAACGGATTGTCCTCAACTGCATTAGATAACAGTGTTACATGAACATTTTAATTCTGAATAATAATAATTTACAGAAACTGTAAAAATCACAATTACAAAAAGTTTTATAACAAATTTATGACAGAAAAAATATTGCCAATATTAAATATAAAACAGCTAATAACAATTCCATTGAAATAATCTAATATTATCAAATGGAAATGATAAAATTAACAGTAAGTGATTTAAGTAAACACAAGCCTTTATGGGTAAATTACTTTATATACTAAATAAATAATCCAAAATTTTTATGTATTAATACATATTCACTTTTTACGAAAAGGTATTTTTGATGTCTATATTGAATTTTCAAATAATATAAAATTTAAATTTTTAATAATTTAATTAATCAATAAAGGGATTTTAGTACAACTTGCAATTCGGATAACATTATCATATGTTTTTAGCTTAAGCACTGAGATCAATGGACGAGATTAGGAAATTCGAGATTTATGACTTTTTCGAAGTCTAATTTACGCAAAATAAAGTTTCAATAATTTTTTTCGTTACCAATGTTTCATGAAATTAAAATGAGTAAATTTAAAATGCTTACTTTAAAAATGAATGCATCAATTAATATGAAAAGAATGACATTTGCTTTGCTTTTTTTACTTAGCAAAAAATATTTAGTTCAATTGTTTGCTTTTAGCTTAATTTCTTCATCGTTTAACTAATTAAATATCCGATTTTCAGCATTTGAAATAAAAATATTTTCTAAACTTTAGCTTATTTCAAATATTAAGTTAACTGTCTTGCTTATCTTGCTTATAAAATAAGTTTTTTTTTTAACTTTCTTTTTTAAGTTATCATTTTTAGATCTTTCACTGCTGACATTTTTATTCATTCCAGTACCAACACCTGTAATATTGATATTTTGTACCAGCAATTTATTGTCCAATTTGGCCTATGAAAGTTCTTGGCCAAAAGAATTGATCAGAATGTAGCAATCACCATTTGAATTTTGTGCCCTAAAAAATGATTTAAAAAAATAAAAATAATAGCACTTAACAATTGAAAATATAAAAGTTTTATGATAAATGAAAAACAATGAAAGATTTAAAAAATTTTTTCTGAATGCCAAAAGAATATGATTTGTTCAAAATAATTCATTATTTTACTTTTTTGCATTTTTTTCTTTTAACAAAAATGATTTTGTTTTTTAGCTCTTTTTTTTGCTCTCAGACTAAGTTGAGTATTACTTGTAAGCTTCGGTAAAAAGAAAAAGATTCGTTAGCAATTTAAAAACAAACAAAATGCATTCCGTGTATATAAAATAAAAAAAATAGTTCCTCATTTATCATTTTAAAATTGGATGATAAAATTTGTTTTTCAAATTCTTTCAATGTTATTAAATATTATTCTTCATTTACTACTACATGCCTGAATGAAATATGAATTTAATTTGATAAATTCTGCTTGAAAAATTATCATTTAGTATAAAATAGTAAATCTAAAATGACCTGAATTATAATAAATTATCCATAAATTAAAACCTAATAGATTATTTATATAAAATGAAAGATGATAATTTTCCATGAACCAAATCTTACAATATAATTATATAAATTAAAGTATCTTAATTGATTTCAATTTATTTGCATATTGCTTATTGCTATTAGCAATAAATCATTTTTCACCTTTTCATCAACTTTTTGTTAATTTTTTTACCATTTTTGTAAGAATCATTTTATCATCTTTTTATCAATTTTAATACAAATTTTTAAAAATTAAATGAAAAAATAACTATTATTTCCAATTTTAACATTGTTTTTCCAATGAATAATTATGATTTTACTATTATTTTTTAAATTTTTACTCAACATTTAATCTTTGAAGTTGTGCAAGATTCAAGCAATTAGCCGTGCAGCTAACAGATCTGCACAGATAAGCCAATACTCAACAAATAGAACCATAAGTGTGACAGCACCAGAAGCTACTAAGAAAATACTTTAACTGGAAAAGAGATGATGAAGACATGAGAAGAGCAAAAGAGAGAGAGAGAGAGAGATTAATAATTTGTTTAAAAGAATATTATGTAAAATAGGATGGATTTTAATTTAGTAAATGATTTTTCTTTTTTCTAATATGAATTGTTAAATTTTGGTGAGAATTTTACAACACTTTAAACTATTTATTCACTTTATACATATAATAATAATAACAATAATTTGAATTAACTGTATGGTAATTATAGTAATAATAAATATGAATTTATCAATTCATTAACAATTTGCTAAGCATCCGATATTATTATTATTTTGCTAAGATAGCACACATTTCATCGGTAAAGTGTATCTTTTAGTAACAATGCTATTACAATATAAGTCTGATATATTTTATGAAGAAATAACTTTTTTTTCACATAAATTAAGTATAATCCTATAATTCATCTTACTGATAAAATTGTTGACAGTTAATGATTTGATTTCATTAGCAATTTTTTTAAATACAAATGCTTAAGCTATGACAAGACAGATCTATAAAAGCATTGTTAAATTTTAGTCTTCACAGAAGGTATCATTTAAAGGATGTGATATAAAAAGACTAAAATAAGTTCAAAAGTAAACAACTGAATGAAAAAGAAGCAAACTGATCAAACAGATTAGGAAAAGAAAAGTGTAGTGACAATTGACAAAATAAGCAAACAATTCACAAATAAGCAATTAATTAAAAATAAAAGCTAAGTAATCGGCTAAAAAAGCACTGAGCCATAATACAATTGAGACTTTTTCATTTACCAATAATTATTACTAATGATTGAGTAATAATTGTTGATAACAACCAGCATGGCATATCTTATCAGATATAATATTACTAGCAGTAATACAAAGGCTATATAATAAATACGATAAAGTAGCCAAAAAAATTAATCTCTTCCTGTAAAATTATTTTTAATAATTTAAATTAATTTTTCATGCTCTACTTTTTTGTTGCTAATGGTTCTATAATTTTTCAAAAACGATCTAAAATTTTTTCATTTAATGTTGCGTAACTATCTTACACTAAATTTAATTCACACTAAAAATTTAAATCATATAGTATATTGCATTTTAATATATTGTAAAAGTAATTTCTAGCTACGGTAGGCAATAATATGCAGCGAAAGGTTAGAGATAAACAATTTAAGTACACCAGTGATTTCGCTTATCATTATTTTACAGATTATCTTATCATGTGTCATTTGCTCCGTAAATTATGAATATAATTTGAATTGTTGAGATTGCAAGCATAGTCTGAAAAATTGTTATTTGTCAAATAATTACTTCTTAATGCAAACTGTTAATACATGTACTGTTGTTAATTTTAATACTTCTAATTCGAGTAGTTTTTATACTTAAAGTAATTTTCATTAACGGAAAGTTTTTTGCTATTCTAAACCTGATGTAAAGTTGCAATTAAAATTAGCAGTCATTTTGCTTTTTTTTTTTTCATTAACTTTCCAACTGTTCATTTTTATTGTAATTATTGGTGAAGAGGAAGCTTGAACAAATGAACTAGCTAATATATAAATGTAATTTGCATCCCACAGACATCACTTAAAAGAAATGTTAGTAAGCATGTCATGTCATGTCATTAACATTAAGCAATAAAATCATTGCCACAGTGAGTTGCAACTTGACTCAGACTGAATTGAAGAAGAGCTAAAGAGCTAAAAATTTAGCACCATGGTATTATTGTCGTAGAAATGAAATATTTTCTCTCTTATTTTTTCTTTTAACTTTCACAAATTGGATTAATATTTTAGATATTAGCAGTTTAAAAATGCTACAAAATTTACTACAATATATTGCGCTGATTATAACTGTTTTTTTTTTTTTTTTCTTAATACTTCGCTTCTTTTCCCTATTTAGCTTATAACAGGTCAATAAACCGGAAATCAACAAAAATATTAGTGCTTTTTTATTAGCTAAGTTAGGATTTAATTAGCTAAGTATGGCTAAAATTACCAAAATATAGCTCGATACCATAAAGAGATCATCTGAAAAAAAGTCATCTAAATGATTAAAAAATGATTTTATGTTATTGCTTAATATAAAATTAAGAAAAAATATATAGAATCTGAAAATCAAATATTGTTTTTGAAATCTCTCGGGAAGCAATCCTCTCGAGAGACACTAATTAACTAATCCTCATTTGACTATTTGACCGAATTGGCAATGTATTCGTATTCCATTTCGGATTCAGTTGGTTTATTGATTACAACCAAAACCACAAACATTAACCATAATAAAGCAGCAAATCTCTAACACATACCATTATCATTCATAATTATAAAATTATTTCTGAAGAATTCACTGTATTAATTCAAAATTAAAGTAAAATACAAATACTTTACATACAAATTGTTACATGCATAAACGTATGTTTTCATTTAAGATTACACATTACAGTATGACAAATTCAAGTGTAACAATATGTTACATAGGTATATTTATTAAATAAATATAGTGCCATAAATAAATGGCTGTAGTCATCGGATAAAGTATAATGATATTTGTTTGTTTAATATATTTAACAAGGGTGAATAATCATAACGGAACTACAAATGAATAATCATAACGGAATGCTATGCGGAGTACAGCACTACAAATGAATAATCATAACGGAATGCTATGCGGAGTACAGCACTACAAATGAATAATCATAACGGAATGCTATGCAAATAGTCTTGATTGATGCTATGCGGAGTACAGTACTAGCGGCATATGGTATGACCGGATACAATACTGTGATGGCAGTTTGTTCGATGCGCAATATAATATAGAAGAGATTTGTAACAACTATTTAGAGCAGAAAATCATAAAGAAGACCAGATCACAATATTATGTAGATTCCGCAACAAATCAATAAACTTAAAAAAAATGAAGTTTCTTTTTTACTAAATTGTTTTCATTCTACTTCTTACCTACAGTAAATGATAATATTATCTGAATAAATCATAGAAATTACAATAAAAAGCTTTAGTTTAGGAAATTTTTACAGTAAACAGTAAAAAAATTTTTTTTTCATTCTGTTAGTAATTTAATTAATTTTTAGAAATTAGGAAACCAAAAAAAAGGAAATAAACATAATATAGTGAGATCATCTAGTAGAGTTATATTTGCATAACATAGCTGCTACTGGCATAACTAATTCATTACTTATTTGATTATCCAGAAATTTATTTTTTGAAATTAAAAAAAAATTTAGATTAAAGGAATAAGACGAAAAAAAAGAAGTATTAGATAGCAATGAAGAATTTTCGTCTACCAAAAACGAAAAATACGGAAACATGGACTTAGGGATTTTAATCTTTGTAATTATTTACACTAAATAACTGTTTCATATCTAACAGTGATTATCAATTAATTTTTTTTTTTTAAAACAGTGATTGTCAATCAATATACAGAGGTTTAGAGTTAAAAAAAGATGAAAATTAAAAGAACAAAAAATGTAAAAAGTTGAAAATCATAAATTATCACAAGATGTACTTTTATCGCTTAGTTATTCAAAATCTGATTACTTTTGAAAAAAAAAATTCCTTAGAAGTGCAAATTTATCAATTTTTCATTTAATGGATAAAATAAGTTGTTAGTTTTGAATAACATACAATGAATATAAATATATATATATGTGTAAATTCTCGTAAAATGGTTATTTCAAAGCATTTCATGTGACAATTGTCAAAACTATCTGTTTCATTAGCAGATTAGCTTATCACATTATTCGTGATTTACTTATATTATTCGTAAAACATTTGGTACACTAATATTTTTATCACACGGCAAAATTTCTTTTCTAATTTTGCCTAAAAACATAAGTGGAAGAGAATTTAGACTGAAAATACTATTTATATGTAAGTTCTGCATGCATTTTTTAGAAAAATCAATTCATTCCAAAGAGTTTAGAATAATTAACAAATCACAAAGATCATTCAATCATTCAGTAATTAACTAACTCTTTTCCACTGTTTGATTTTGTTGTGTTGTAAAAAAATTTTGAAATGAAATTAGTTTTTTGCTTCTCTATTTTCTTTATTTTTTTTTTTTTTTGCACTTAATAAAATATAATACAGAATTAATGTATTGATGGAATATTCTGATAAATAATCATCATTGTTATTTCGAGAAGTGATAAATCATAACAGCTATAAGTTAAGATTATCACAAATAACAGACAATTAGAAATAATTAAGGGTACACGTAGCTACTAATAGTTAACATAATAATTAAGGAGGAGAATTAGCTAATTGCACATTTAATTATGATTTGCTGTTAATTTCACATTTGTACAGCATAATAATTATTTAATAACAAAAGTACATAAACAATAATGTAAGCAGAAAAGTACCAAATGATATGAGTAGTACTTGTATATGTTTTAGGTAAATAACTAGATAATCAAAAGTTGTATGGTAGACAAATAAAGTATGATGTAATAAAACTTAATCCAAATTAAATCGCTTATAAATTTATATTTGCCTATTTGTTTTGTTTATTATATGTTTATTTATTTAGCTTTTTATTTATTTAATATAGACAAGACAAAAAATTTCTTTATTTCATATATTTTTTTTTCATTATTTTCAGACACTGGCCCTTCTAGCTTCGCTATTGGAGCAGCCATTTTGGCTTATAATTTTAATTGGCTTCAATGAATTTAAAAGGTATTCAACTTTACGCAATTTAAGGCTACAACAATTATTGATAGGGTAAAATCATTTGAAAAAAAGCATGAAATGATAAGCTGATAATCTGTATAAACATCATTTGCTGTCGCATTTTCAGTAACGGACAATACGTCGCTAAGACATTGTTGGAATCAGGAAGGAATTCAGAATGTTTCTACCGCTACATCAAAAGAGATCATCACCAGAGTTTCGCGGAATGGTTGCACAGAAAGAACGCCTCGCATTATACGCCCATTGCGCCCATTTATCAGCAATCGTTACTGAATTTACAGGTCAGAGTAAATTACTTACTTTTGAAGGAATCCCGCGGGCATTTATTTCGTGCATTATTTCAGTTCTTGCTACTCTGTTGCAACTTTTCCTTCCCCAAAATTTAACTTTGACATCGATTTATCACACATTCAAATGGGAACTGTGACAAAGGTGTTCTATGTGGCAAATCAACAATTAATTTACCTGAACCATTTCAATTGGAATAAATTATCAATTTCAATGGAAGACTGTCAGTGTTTCATTCAAAGTAGCAAATATGGGGAATAGGGAATCTCAGATTCATAATGCTTATCACTTTATGATTGATAAAGGAGTAATATTCCACAAAAGAATATATTACACTGGAAAGAGATACAGAGAGATAATTCAATTCCGTTTACCTTTTTCGAATTATTGGAAATAAAAAAAAAAGGTAAACAGAGAAAGAATTTTGAAAACTGAAACTGAGTTGAATGTATGTAATTTCTTCGACTCCTCCTTTTGTAACTTTCAATTTATTCAGGAATAAATATTACAAAAAAAAAAAAAAATTTTTCCAAATCTCACAAATTTTGCTTATGCTTATGCCAGAAGAAAAATGCTGCCTTAATTCTGCAGGCGGAATAAAAAAGCACCGCGGAACTTAAAAGTTCAGTTCGTCGTAAGCTCTTCTCTAATCTCATAAATTTCTTTGAATATTTGTGGGGATTTTACCATTGTTCTTTACGCATCCTTTACTTTAGTTAAATGCACTGAAGGACGGAGAACAAGTAAGCCATGGAGTCGCTGACTGCGAAACCCCGGAACTCCCAGCAATAACACCGGAAGCACCGCTGAGAGAACGCGCATTGTGTTATTTTGAATATTTTCTGAATTATAATCCGCTGGTACGTCATTTTCATCTTTTTATACGGAAGACGGACTGCAATGCGAACCTTAAGATTTACATCAGGAACGTTTCTTCGGAAGACTGTTGAAGATATCTCTAAATTCCGGTTTGCATGACTGAAGCTTGAAATGCCTGAATTTCTTGTCAATTTACGATCAATCATATCCTTTTGTGCCAATTTTAATTGATTTTTACACTGAAAAACAAAACGAAGCAAAAAAATGATAAATTGCTTCGGTGCCAGGAATTGCACTGTTGCAATGTGAACGAATGAGCAGAAAAATGCGAAAGGAAAAAATTGAAATTCAAATTGTTATTTCAACTTTTATTCTTTGACGAAATCTGCTGACAACCTTTTTACAGTGACAAACAGCTCGAAATGTGATGAAACCCAGAAAAACAATCAGTTGAATAAAACTTGTTATCAATTAAAAAATCTTTTTGTCAAAATGATTGATAACGGAATTATTTATCAGCTTAGTTCCAATACTCTGATAATTATCATCTATCACGAGTAATCAATACTTCCTTCCATCACAATTATATCTCATACTGAAGGGGCGGGGCAAATTTAGGAATGATCAATGAATTCCGGAGTACCGGATTTCTGATTCGTCTCTCTATGATAGATTTCCATTTGCAATTCAATTTCAAACAAATAAATAACTCACAAAATGGCACAAGTAAAATATATTTTTTACATTCAATCGATCAACAAAGAACGCTTCAGAAAATGCAATCACAAATAATTTCTTTGAATGTTTTGAAATATTTTGAAGGAATAACGCCATTGGTCCGTTACCTACTAAATCGAAACATTCAGGGCAGAGCAATTACAGGAAAATGATCTATCATTCCAGCACTTTATGTACAGTGCTATTCTAAGATAGTAGTAGTAGTAGTACATTTAATGTTTTAAGAGAGTTCCGGCAGCTCTGGCGGAAGTACGCTGCATGTGCGCTCATCCGCCACCCAAATTAATCGGCAAGCGAATCTTCGAGTGTGAACCGCTTCGTTATCAAATTCGTGTGCTAAAATTTGACGAACTATGTCAAACATACTCGGAACAAACTGAAACAATCGCCCTAGCATGTATACCTGTGCTGCAGGTAAGTTAATCTACCTTTTTTTTTTTCACTTTCATGACCGATTTATTATTGTGCAAAATTTGTTTCTCATTCAAAGAATTCCGGAACAAAGCGAATAAGTTCCGATTTTATTTCCAAATTTTACTCGTTTCTAATAAAATTTATCTAAAGAACATCAGGACGATCGATTTGAAATCAACATTTCAGGCAAGTGCAAAAGCGGATGGAGAAATGAAATTCCTGGCTCCGGAAAGATTTCGAGGTCCGATCAAGAAGAGTGTCCAGTATGATTATAGTAATTTTCATGACGAATAATTAACAAAGACGATATTTTCCTCCTCATAGTATTATTACCTCATTGATTGGAGAATAAATATTCCGACGTTTATCTGTTTCCGCAATAAATCAGCGGCAGCAACGACGATATTTACCAATTTGATGTTAATGATTTGGGAATAATTATTTTTGATGAAAACTTTTTTTACGAACCATTAAACTGTGAAAAAATGGATAGCCTTAATTAGAGCGATAAATTTTGCTAACGTATACTTTTTGAGATTAATGTCTGTAGAGTAAGCTTACTTTGAACATATGTTTAAATTTTCGTATTAATAAGCATACATTGAAAGTGAACTTATCAAACAAAAAAATGAACAGAATCCGATTTCATGAACCACACAACGTTATTCCGAAACAATACTACAATTCATGAAAAAAATCAACAAAACTATTAAAAACTAATTAAAATTTACTGTCAACAAATAAAATCTTTTAGAAGAAGTCAATTTAAAAAACGAAATGGAAATATTAGTTGTGAAATGGAAATTGTTAAATTATGTAATACTAATGACACTGTGTATATCCCAAAAATGTTTCTTTACAAAATTAACATCAACAATTAACGGTCTATTGCGCTCGTAATTACGAATGGGAATAAAAGATTTCTCGAACTGATCGCTTCCAAAATACACAAAAATATTTAAGTTTAGCCTTCAAAAGAAAAATTATCTAATATAAATTTTTACTAATCACGGTGAGCTCTCCGAGCTATTAAGTGTCTTTTTTTCCAGTTCACAATTTTCTTCTTTGTCAATATCGCTCAATGCCCAAGGCTGCACTTCACCTTTGGCAAATAAACAGAAAATGGTAGTACCGGCCAATAAGACTCCACCGGTAATCCAAAAAACTAATTGCCATTCTTGTTGTGAACCCTAAATAAGTGAAACATTTCTTTTTTCATTAAATTGAATTCATGTAAGTAATTTCCTTTTTTTGTGAGGTTAATGGGAATTTGGCCGGTAAAAACATCTAAAAGTAAAATTTAAGAAATGCAAAATTTATAAAAAATTGCATGATATATTTTGAAAAATAGAGAAAGTCATAAAGTGGAATGAAAATTACCGTGGGAGTGAGATAACCAACCATCACCGGACCTATGATACCAGCGATACATGGTATCGTATTGCCGATACCCAATATAGGTCCAGCAAATGCTGGTGCAATGTCGAGATAACTGACCATGTAACCGGAGTATTGTATTCCGGATAAACCAATCCCAACGGTAAGGAATATAGTTACTAAGGTTTCCTGACCACAACCGCAATAACCGCTAGCTATCAAAAATACTGCTTGACTTCCAAGTGCTATAATTTTGGCAGTTATACATTAAATTATGGTAAATTAGCAAGCTTATACCAATTAATTTCGCTTCATTAATTCTCACTAATTAATTAAGCATTTAAGCACAAAACTGTTAAGTAATAACAGCTTATAATTTATATTATAGTACCAAAAATCAATTAATACGTGGAATATGTGAACAATTAGCGAACGCATTATATAAGATCGCAAAATTACGCTCAAATTTGTTATCATGATTTCCTGTGAATCATATTTTTCACTAATTTCAGGTTAATTTAACGAAATATAATGCCATAACTCTCAAAAGAAACCTACAAATGATCATAGCAAGACGTCGAATAGCTATAGTTGATAAAACATTTGCTTTCTGTAGTTTATCGGCAGTAAAACCACCAAAATTCATACATACGAAATATGTAATGTACGGAATTGCTGTCAAAAATCCAAGCTAAAATATATTAAATTAATAAACTTTTCACTGAAAAAATATTTTGGAAAGGATCAGCTTGCTAGCTCATTGGTGTGTAAGTAAAGATACGATATTAAGCGCTGAATTTTTTAGTGAGATTTGAATAAATACGACAAGTTTTATTCGACTACTAGATTATTTATGCTAGGAATATTGCGAATGCTATTTTAGCAATTTCGTTTTAAGAAATAATTGAGAATAAGCAAACCGAAGCGAAGTCTAATCCCAAAACATCATTCATGAATAGCGGAAGGGTGGTTATCATCATGTGACCACCCCAATCACCGGCAAAATGCCCACAAAAAACTGCCCAAACTGGAACTGATTTGAATATTGCAAGCCATGGAACAGCTCTTTTCTGAAATCAAAAAAATTTTTAAATTTGGAATTTAAAAAAGAATTGGATCAGAATTTCAACTCTTGAAAATGACTGCGAAATAGTAGCACCAAAAGGTCACTTTTATGATTGCATAATTGCGCATGCTTGTTAAGATCTTTTAATTCCCTCCCACAAACATTGATATTCCTTATTACCTTGTCGCGAAACTCGAAATAAGTATCCAAACAACTCACAAAATATATCAAATAAAATTGTATTAATTCATAACACTAAAATTTGTCTTAATTGAACATTCTCAAGAAATATAAAATTGTTTCAAACTGCACCTAATGAAGCAACCATTATTCCACCACTCATCTTTCCATTGTAGTTTATCTGTTTGTCTAGAAATTTCCAACTGTTAATAAAAGGTACTGCATTGTTTAATACGTTAAAAACTACTCCTTTACTGCTTGCAATGTCGAAATATTGTAAAGGTTTCCTAATCTAATAGTTATTTTTACGAGGAATTGACAATACCAAAACCCATCTCTCACTATATAAAGAGTAAAGATCATCTGATAGTCCTTTATTCAGTGTAATCATCAAGCGCTTATTGCAAGACAATGCCCACAGTATAAGGATGTAAATCCCTTAGCTTGGGTAAGTTAGCTACTTTCCCATCAATTTATACATTTATTCATTTCCATCTCATTCTTTGATACTTCATCAAATGATATCTGTATTATTGCTATAGATTGATACCTGCTTGCTAACGAATAAAATAGACTTTCACTCAACTCATCCGTCTATACTAACTATAATAATAAACAAGGAAGGCTCTTTAGCATACGAAAGTTCAATCGACTTTAAGCTATTAAGTAACAGACGTCCAAGTTTCATGACATACCTAACTAATGAATGATAGACGAATTTATAAAATTCGGCAACTAATCCAAAAAATCATTACTTTTTTTGAATCCGATGCTAATATATCAGCTAATGAATTTTCGATATAGCTTAGCTCCTTTTTAGAAATACGTTTGCTCTGAGATGGTCGATCCGAAACATAGGAGAACCAAAGAACACACCATAAAACACCTGCCGTACCTTTAAAAAAAGTACTTTTAATAATCATATAAAGATGACTCTTTAAAATATTAATTAGATGAATCTCAGGAAATTCAGAAACACAAAAAATTTTACAAATTTACCGATAACGTAAAAGATGGATGGCCAACCACCAGCAAATCCATATTTGCAAAGTAAACCAGACAGTGGCATGACAGCTGTATTACCTATTTGAGCACCTGTAAGAAGATTTATTTTGATCAAAAATTAGTCAAATGCATTGTCCAATCTGAAACCATTTTTGAAATAGGTTAAAAATTAATTCGGAGTTTTAATTTACTGTCAAATTCTTAAAGATAAGAAAAAGACGAACCTGCATATGTTACACCGGTTAATAAACTTCTTTCCAGAGGTGGCGCCCACATTGACCACATTGCATGGTACGCAGGAAATATGGCACCCTGAAAATTCGAAACCGTAAAATCTATATAAACTAAAAAACTAAATCCAATACTTGAACAAAAATATCTAAGAGGACAAAAAATATATGATATCTTATGGAAAAATAACTCGAGAAACATGGAAAAGTGAAAATTTGCTTGTAAAATTATACATTCAGCTTAACAACGATTAAAAATTACTAGGCTTATTATAATACCTGCATAAAGCCTATGATAGCTCGAGCAATAATGAATGCAAAAACGCTAGTTGTTGCGGCTATTGGGCTGAGGAGTGTAAGAACTGCACATCCTAGAACCGTAATACCAATCACCAAACGACCGCCATATCGACTGGCCAAATAACCACCAAGAATTTGGCTACTTATATAGCCCCAAAAAAAGGCACTTAATACATATCCTTGTACATCCTTGGTCCAAATAAATTCACCCATATACTGAAAGTAATTAAGAAATTAGATGTCAATAAATGCTTTGCAATATCTCTCTTTGCTTTTTTTTTTTTTACTTAATAATAACGTAAGATTAAGTTTGCAAAGAAATAGAATGCTTTCAATGCAATTCATTAACGCTTTTTTTGACACAATTAAATTTCCTCTAATGCTTTGGTTAAAGGAAAGAGAATTAAGTATTATTTGCATTGAAATTTTAGTTGAAAATGGCTGAATGAAGTGAGAGACATACAGCTTCCCTTTCACTCAATTCGCTATCATCCCGTGGCGCACATGTCGCACTTTTCTTGGTAACATTTGCATCATTGGTACCAGTTATCATTTCCACCGCTGTACTATTTACCATACAAACGATTGCAAAACTGACATCAGTACGTGACATGAAGACAACAAAAAAACCCACAAATCCAACTAATGCAAGGTTTAACCGTGCGGAACCCAAAAGGGCTGAAATGACAAATGAATTATGGTACATATATATTAATTAAATTAAAAACTTTTAGTAACTTTTACAACAATAATTATTGTTACACTTAAGGTAAGCGATGAGGAATTTGAAATTACGATTAGTTACTTATTTCCATCACTTATCATTTTGCTTATTGATATTTCAATGTTATCTTAAGAGTCGCAAGTCATCACAGATTCACAGTTGCTAGGCTCATTAGGCTAATTACTGTGCAGTAGTGAACGTGTGGGAATAACCGACTTATCAATACCACATATTTCATGGGTTTGCTTATCACTAATATAATAGGATCCATCGGGTTATTTTACCAAAGAATGAGAAATTTGATTAAATACTAAGATATTCAAATAGTACCGTTTAAGCCATTAAGTAAAGTGAATATTAAAACCTTAAAAGTCTAATTTAATTAACTCAGCCATATTTGTTGATCAACACT